GAAACAGTGGCCTGGTGCTTTCTGTTGTCATGGTTACCGATGGTCAGCTGTGAGGATCAGCTGCAGTTTTGAAAAAACAATAACACAAACATAAAGCTTACAGCAGTGTGTGTGTGTGTGTGTTTGTGTTCCTGTCTAGCTATCTTTCTGAGCACTGAAATCTGCATTCTACTATACTTGTGTGAACCAGCAGTCACTTGTGAGGACACACACACCGGTCCTCACAAGTTTGAAGGAGGCTCAAAATGTGGTTTTAGTGTCAGGGTTACAATTAGGTTATGGTTAGGTTTAGGGTTAAGGGTTAGGGTTAGGCATTCATTTTAATGGTTAGGGTTAGGGTAAGGGGCTAGGGAAACCATTATGTCAATGAAGGTCCTCACTAAGATAGCTGAAAGGGCTTGTGTGTGTGTGTGTGTGTGTGTGTGTGTGTGTGTGTGTGTGTGATCTCTTACCCTGACATCTTGCTTCAAGCATCCTGTCACCATCTCCATGGCAACAGAGGGAGAACTATGGCACGCAGCAGCTTTGGAAGAACAAATGTGTGTAACATTTTAAAAAATCCTCCTCATTTTATTTTGAAAATCTCCTCCTGATCAATATTTCTAATGAACTCTATTTCAGAACCTTTCAGAATCTCACCAAATAAAAGATGAGTAGAAAATGTGTGTGTGTGTCTTTCAAAGGTGTGTGTGAATAGAAACCTGCGTGTCCAAACTGAAAGCAGGATGTGTGTGTCTGAGCAGATGTGAAGGTCGTCAGATTAAAAGCGTGTTGAATGAATCAGACATGTTCATCACCTCCGTGTGTGACATCATCAGTTTTTATTTGAGGGGAAACTCTTGGCTCAACTCCAGACACACCTGAGCTCAGTTAGCCCATTTAACCTCCGGGTGGGCTCAGGCTTTATTTAGCCCTGCACCGTCCCGATGATGATGGTGATGACGTTTGGTTCTTTCTAATGACCCCTGACCCCTCCTGAGGGCCGAATCCCTCAAAGGAGGTGTGAAGTGAGCGACACCTGAGGCTCTCCAGCCTCTCCGGGCTTTTGGACCGTTTTCCAGTCCTGTGGGAATCTTCGTGACTCTGAGCTGCAGAGATTCGAGGCTGCAGTTCTGTGGATGAAAATGACTGAAAATAGAAGCTGCTGTTCCGCAGAGAGCAGCTGAACTCACTAAGCGTGCTCACTGAGCGTGCTCACTGAGTCATATCTCCAAACCTATGAGCATGCTACACTCACTGCAGCTGCTTCACTGAAATCACTGTGCGTCTAGTAAAAAAACATAAATTTTATCGTTCACAGCTGCTTCTAGGTCTAATTGACAAACTTACTTTCATTCAATAAGCTGATTGAGGTCAAAGTTCAGCAGAGAGGTTGATCTTATTTTAATTTTGTTTTTGTGGTTTTATTTTTTGGCAGCTCTTCACCAAACAAGAGCATTTAATGAAGGTTTTAAATTAATTCATGCTTTGATTTGAAATATAATTGCTTTGTATTTATTAGAATTTTTATTAAGGTGGCTGCAATTAAACCATCCGGTGTTTTCAGGTGTGTTAGTTCACTGTAGACCAGGTTTGTTCTATCAAGCAGAACTCGGATCTGTTCTTGGTGAATGTTGGACTTTTTCAGCCAAGCGATGGAGGGTGAAGGGGGGAGGATTTGATGGTCTCAGAATCTCTCTGATGCGGTTCTGTTGGTCCATCAGATGGTGATCTCCAGTAGGCAGTGAGGCAGTACACAGGAATAACAATGAAGTGTCCCATCCAGGTCAGCACGCTTCCTCAGGGCTCTAGAGTGCGACCAATTTGGTCACAAATGCGACTAAAAAAAAATATTTGGTTGCACCTGTGCGACCAAATGTTCGGGTAGCAAAAAAAAAAAAT